TCATGCCCTGGCCTACCGTTTCACAGATAGTTTTTAAGAACATGGCCTCAAGACCCTACAGTATCTACCCACATGGCCTGACAATAGAAAAGTCAGAGGAGGGAGCCAACTATCCAGAAGGAGGTACAGATRTCTTATCATAAAACAAATTGAGTTAATGCTTGTGAAAACTAGGCTACAATCTGGTTTGAATCTATGAAGTGACAGAGCTTTTGTGATGTGGTTGAAAGGAAACCAGTCCCATGCTGTCCAGCCAGGTGAAACACACACCTATACMTGGAAGGTACTTCAGGAGAATGAGCCTTTGGACAGTGATTCGCGATGTCTGACACGAATGTACCACAGTGCTGTGGACACACCACGTGACATCGCATCAGGTCTTATAGGCCCCATCCTCATCTGCAAGAGTCAGTCCCTTAATGTCAGGAATGTACAGGTAAGCAAAATAAAACAACTTGTTTATTCTCAAAGAACAGTTTAAACATAGCGTTTTATATAATTTTAAACTATGTATTAGAATCTTTGTGTGTTATTTAAAAGTATAGGGGCGGGGAAGAATGAAAAAAACAGTCTCTTTGTTTCTGAAGGTGAGGGCAGATAAGGAGCAGCATGCAGTGTTTTCAGTGTTTGATGAGAACAAGAGTTGGTACCTGGATGATAACATTCGACAGTACTGTGATCGATCCAAAGTCAACAAGGCTGACCCAGAGTTTTACAAGTCCAATATCATGCACAGTAAGTTTTCCTATGTTAATATATATCAAGGTTAACATCAAAATCTAATGTAAAATTTTCAAGTTTTGTAATCCACACTATCTGCAATTTACAATATTGGTCTTCATAGTTTCAAATGATGAAATAAATGTTAGATGAACATTTTCCTCTTTTTTTCTTTTCCCAAACCAATCAACTTTAGCTCATTAAGGAATTCTTTATYAAATCATCTGTTTTAATCATGTCATAACCACTACAATCATCTTGATAAAGATACACATTATCTTTAAGCGTACACATTATCTTGCAATCTATAAGAAGGATCGGACGGTCATTCTCCACCACCTTTGGGGGTGTTCCCCACTTMGATCTCGGGGCTTCCAGTCCATATTCTGCACAGATGTTCCTGTACACTATGCCCGCCACTTGGTTATGTCGTTCCATGTATGCTTTCCCTGCCAGCATCTTGCACCCTGCTGTTATGTGCTGGACTGTCTCAGGGGCCTCATTGCGCAACCTACACCTTGGGTCTTGTCTGGTGTGGTAGATCTGAGCCTCTATTGCTCTGGTGTTTAGGGCCTGTTCCTGTGCAGCTAGGATAAGTGCCTCTGTGCTGTCCTTGAGTCCAGCTTTTTCSAGCCATTGGTAGGATTTCCTGATATCAGCCACTTCAGTTATTTGTCGATGGTACATCCCATGTAGGGGCTTGTCCTCCCATGA